TCCACAAACACATTGGGAAACACAAAAAATCAGCGGGCAGTGGCCCACTTCTTCCAGAAGCCCTGACACGTGAGACCGTGCGTGCGCAGCAATCCTCTTCACCTCAATTCGTCCAGCTGAGCACAAGCATCCGTGTCGAACAAACCGACGGCAATCTTCAACGATTCGAACCGAGCAGAGTCCGCTGCAGCCTACGTTCAACCAAACTGTTCTGAAATACCGACTATGCTCCTTGGTCTCTCGGGACTCTGCTGGACTTTCACAGCCACCTCCGGTCCCTCGCGTATCTTGGCTCGATAGACCTGGCCATGGGCGAGTCACTCTGAAGAATTGTGGTTTGTCTCACGGAAACCCTTCAGATCGAGCGTTCCCCTATCCCTTGAAGCAACTCCAAAATAGGCACCCTCAAAAAAGATACACCGATTTACTGGCCTTGGCAAAAACAAACCACCTAACATGGGCAACAAACGGCCCAAACGGGGCCCTCCGCTTGCGTGTGGTCTTGTCACCTAGCTGGCAAAAGATCCCCATGTTGCCACCTGCCTACTCCGCGTTGCCTCCAAAGCCGGTGAACGGGACAAGCGTAGGTGTGCTTTTCGACCACTCAAGCCAGTCTGGTCCCATCAATGTTCAGCTAAAACCTGTAAAACCCCTCCATTCTCAGAATAATCGGGGGATGCACCCCGAATTGGCCAAGAACAGCTAGAACAATCCAGTTGCCTTGTGACCGTGCTACAAACTTGGGGCTGATTCCTTTCTTAGCGAGTCCCGAACGCAACTAAAAGATCAAAAGGGATCAGAGTTTAACTGCAGAAACCAGAGGACACCAAAAACATCAGGATTCCTTGTGGGTTTCTATCAACCCTTAAAAATCGTCGCCAACTAACCACAAAGCACACCAACTGAACAACTTAAGACCGCCCAGAAAGTATCCAAATAAAGTTGCAAGAACAGAGGGAACCCAAAGTGGGTCTTGGTTTCTCTTTGGTTTCCCTTTGAAACCCAAAACGACCTCGTCCCCTCACCGGTCGCGTGTCCCATCCAATGTCTGCGACCCCATCGGATGCCTGGCCCAAGGACGCTGAGGCGATCGGCGCCGGAGAGATCTCCTCAAAGACTTCACCCACCGGCCTCGGGCGGTCGGTGCCGGGCGTTGGCCTTTCTGTTGGGTATCTGAAAGGGAATCTGAGAAGGGAAAATTGAAAAATATGGTTTCAAAGTGAAAAGGGTATCTGAATAGGAAACGGAAAAAAATGGGTTGCGGTTTAAAAGGGCGCCTCCAAAATCATGGGAACCTGTTGAAATCTTAGAAGGGTTCTCTCAGAAAGGGGAAAATTGGGGCACGGCTTAAAAGAGGGGGCCTGGCCTTCAAAAGGACACCCCAAAAGGGTTCCCTCAGAAATGGGCACATGACTTCACAAGTGATTCAAACTGTGAGGCTGTTAGGTTTCTAGCGTTGGTCCTTTAAACAGGGATCCTCAAACGTTCCACCCAAACTTTGCACCATCTTAGTCGAAAAAGCCTTTACCTGGATATGATGCTGTAATGCTTGATCGGTCCATGAGGATCACAAAAGCAAAACCTCATGAACCCTGCCACTTGAGGGACTCCTGGGATAAAACTAGCTTCGCCACAAATCCTTGAAGTGTGTGTGTGTGCCCAATAGTCTCACAAATTCATTTATCCCAAACCAAGTTTGACAACAGAATCACAAGAGCAGCCTTCTCTACTTATGGTTGCTCATTGTGCTTCTTGTATCATGGTTTCGAAGGTATGCCGCGAATTTCGATCTACTCATGTCTATGCGAATCTCCGGCTGCCCTGGTTTTGACTGTCGCTCATTTGACCATAACGTTGTCAGTGCGTTTGCCGGAAGAATTGCCAACGGCTGTTCTCCAACTGTTTATTGAGTTGCGGGCTATGGTATTATACCAGAGGTTGTCCGAATGCAAATACCAATGCTCAAGACAAATTACCATAATTTACCCATCGATGAAATCAACAACCGAAAGGATATTCCTATGAAAGGACTCATGTTGGATCTATGCTTCCTAGAAGTTGGACAAATGGGGGCCGTCCGTGACCGCCCCTCAGTCCATCCAAAACATTGGCCCCCCGAAATCCATGTTGAGCGGTTGCACGCTGTCAATCGCTTTGGTTTTGTTTGCTCTCTGTCAATCGCTCCTAAATGGCATTGACATCCTCAATGGAAGGCGGGGTCCCGGCTTCAGAACTGGGAATCTCTGTGACGAAATGTGCCTTTGGGCTCATCTAAGGCCGGCAAAGCGAAGCAGCCCAAAAATGGAGGGGCGCCCTGGCCTTGAAAAATGGAACCCAAGAACTCCTAGGTCCTCTCGGAATTTTCTGGGAACCCCAGATCCTGGAAACGCCAAGGGACCCACAGGACCCAAAGGGAAACCAACCCCGCCGCCTTCCCAGCTCCGACTCGATGATCTCATCGGCGATGGGGGTGGGGAAGGGCGGCACGCGGTCCTGCAGAATCGCCTGCCTGTTGCAGCCTGCTGAGTAGATGTCCCTGGGGTGGGTTGGTGATTTCCCTTTAAGAAGTTTGCCCAAAGTTCACCATATTCCCCCCTTTTAGTTGCAGAGCTCGGTTTCTGACTCCATTCGAGCTTCTCTTCGGTTGGGTGACCACAAACGGGGCGTCATGTGCGTCCCAAGTTTTGCGGGAGCAACCCGAGAAATCTCTCACAAGGTCGAGCTGAGTGTGCCTCTGAGACAACACCAAAGGTCCGCTAGCGAAGCACCTGCCACACCCTTCCGCCCCTTCGAGTGTCCTGAAGTTCTGTCAAGGCCTTCAGGTATGCCGGTGACAGAAGGTCAGCTCGAATGGAAAGGGCCTGACGGGGTCAAATTTGTTGTGTGTGGTCAAGTTCCCCTCCGTAGGAACCCTTACAATGGTTGTCTAAATTTCCCAAAGTCCAAAAGACTCATGACAAGCTCCACTAACCCGAAGCAACAAGTTTCTTTGATCATGGAACAAAGCCGGAATGAGCCAGGGTCAACACCATTCAACACCGGCACTGGTGCAACACCTAAATCAATGCCCGACCTTTAAGGAATCACAGGATGTCAGACCTCTTTTTGTGGGACATTACAACTGAATCCCAAGCATGTCGCTTGCAATGACCGTTGTGCGTCTGAGCCTTGCAACTCGTATTTAACTTACCCATAAAACCCACCGAAAGGTCTGTTTGAATGAAAAGGAAATTGGGAAACTGGCCTTGGCCAAGTTCCGGTTCCATGTTAGAAGGAAAGGTATCCCATGCAGTATGACTGCGTTGGAGAACTGAATGGCTCTCCTGTCGCAGAGCTGACAGGCTTACCTTTCGACCTCTTTGAGGCAAGGGACTCCGATTTCCGGACTCGAGCTTCTAAAACTCGGTCTCCCGTCCCGCAGTCAACAGTTGACCCTGATTTCACGATGGCCAATCTGATTGCCAAAAGCTTTTGGTACCCAAAACCATGCAAGCCAGCTGAAACCTTCCTTCTGAAGCCTTCCAGCCTGGCCGATCTTGATGAAGGTGGGGCCCAGGTCCGTCAGAATCTCAACCAGCTCTTGCGCTCGCTTCGACGCATTGGCCTCCATCTCTCCAAACGCGGGCAAATGGCATGTCCATTGCTTGGAGGACAGAAGCAAAACAAACCCAGAACAAGTAAAGAGGGCATCCCAAATACACCAGTCACCAGAGTCGATGGTGACTATGTGATGCTGGTGTGTTTCTGTGCTACGGCTTAGTACTTGATTACCATCCATTTCCATGATGGTTATCATTTTGCATCATAGAAAGTGCCAACCTAACCCCCATTTTCCGACACACATGAGCCTCTGATGGCTTACGTGATACAACTGGGAGAGCTGTACATGTGCCTATCACTGGATGCATGAATCAGGATCGAGGAAATCTCATCTCTCACGCGTACATCCATGCGTCCAACATGTAACATGTTAACAACTATAATATATATATATATATGGGTCTGCCGTTTTTTTTTTTTTTTTTTTTTTTTTTTTTTTTTTTTTTTTTTTTTTTTTCGCAGTACCCTTTGCAGGTTGGTTTAAAGGCAAATCAAAGGGAAACTACCATTTTGGGGTGTCCCCTGCAAAAAGACACACCCATATGTTCAGTTCACCCTCTCTCATCTTACAAGAGCTTCTCCATCGTCGCGTGCAAGACGATTGGTGTCTGGATTTTCCGCAGGCGGAACATGAGCGTCCAACTGGTGGCACTTAAAACGTAGATATAGCGGAAACACATTCCATGTACATCCACCTTAAAGGAGCATCTGCCGATCTTGACTGGGTGAAAATCAAGCTGTGAACCTCCCCGAGCGCAGCCCTCTGCCTCCCACTGTCCTGTCTGCAAATCGAGCAGCAGCCTCGCCTGAAGCTCTTGCCCAGCTGCAATGGTTCCCAAAACTGACTTTGATAACCATTGAACACTAGCAAACTCGTGAGCACACTTGCCTTTGCGCACCAGCACCGGGGCAAAGACCAGAAGATACTCTGCATCTCGTATTGCAAGAAAGCAAGATATGTAACCCTATGACTGGCCCCCCAATCCAAGCAATGACCAGCAAGAGGGAACTGGAAAGCGCCCTAGCTACGCCCTTGCTGCAAGCGACCGGCTTCGATTCAGAAAACCGATAAACGGAAGGTGGCTCTCATGAAGAACACAAGTCCATTGCAGGGGGATCTCTTGAAAGACCGCGGCTGAAAACTGCGAAGTGGGGCCAAGGACTTGAACGTTGCAGGTCAGGGCTTCCAACGACCTCCCAAGTGACTTAATTATTTCACAAAGTCTCCTCCCAATTAAAGGGAAACTATCGGTGACTTTGATAGCCCCTAAAGACCGTGATCCTGTTCGACGTGACCAACCAAAAGGTGGCTACCTCCCGTGACTGTGATACTGTGGATGGTTACGAAATCCATCCAACGCACCAGCGTTCGGAAACCCAAGGGAAACCCAGAGAAATGATCGGATTCCCCAACGTAAATGCCAACAAGCGCTATGGTTTCAACCATGGTTTCAAAGTGGTGTGCAACGGGTTTTGTCCAACCACAGTATCCATTGGATTCGTAGGTAACCAAGTGCTTGCCACCCGATATATAGTCCAAAGTGGAACATAGATCGGAAAATTACCTACGAAAGCTCACTTCCCGAGTGGATTGGCACAAACAAGTAGTCCGAACTTCTTGCTACCACTAAAATGGTCCAACCACACAAAGTGACTAAAGCCCGAAACAGCACGATCCAGGAATGAGAAATTGCTGCAAAGCGGATTCCTGAGATCCACTGGGGTGTGGTTAGGAAGTCGTTTCCCATTTGCCCCCTACATTCTTGCAGGGGTTCAAATCCCCAAACCTCCAATCCAAACCTAAAAATGACTACCTGAAGTGACTGTGATACCAGACACACCGGCCGGATACCTCTCACCGACGACAGTCGCATTCGAAACATTTTTCTCGGCCCCCCGCCGCCAGGCTCAAGCCAGTGCCGGCCAGCTCCGCCGCCCGCCAGGTCACCATCCAGGGACCTCCAGATCCGACAGACGCGAGTCACGAAAAGGGGCAACCGCACATTTGTCTCTCGACCGCGGAATTAAACCAAAAAGATACACACCAACCAACTAGGAAAACAAAAAATATGTTTGGCCCAATGGCTGTTGGCTTCGCCTGTTTGTGCGCTGGCTTGTGGGAAGATGCTGAAAAGCAAAGGGTGCTAGTTCCTACGCTGTTAGGCGCTTCATGATCAAGCAAACGAACTTAGCCAGGGCGTCTTGTGATTTGTCTGAGGGACACCAAAAGGAAACCGAGCTTTTGAGGGTACCCTCTGTTTAGCAAACCCCCGAAAAACAAATGCAGTAAATGGACATCACGCTCCACAAAAATGAAGCTCAATCAACATTGGCAACCAAAAAGGGTATGCTTTAGCGCTCTGCAATCAAACTCTTTGATAGGCCAACAAGTATTCTGGGTCGATTTGATTTCCTTCGAAGATCACGATCTCACGAAAACGGGCCGATGCTGCCCAGGGGTTGACCAGGAGAGAATGGTATGAGAAGGAAGGCGAAGCGCCCGGAACACGGGCCAATTCGAGGCGGGGGGTCAAAAAGACCTCCATCCCAGTAGCCTCTTCCCGGAGACGCTTTTTGTCAAGACCACTTGTTTGGCAGGAAGCACCACAAGTAGCACGCACCAGAAAACAGTAGAACATATCGCCATCAAAGAGGTGATTGGCACCCACCCGGTGCAGCCGTGAGTGAAGCTCCTCTAGCCCTGGTGTCTCAAGCCCTGGGTCAGGCCTGGTGTATTGATCAATCATTTCTGGGTTCTCTGCTAGGTAGATTCCAGCGCCGAAGATGCCTGCTTCTTTTTAAAGCCCTGGTGAAGGATGTCCACGAGACGCTCTGGGCGGGTGCCATGTTACAAGTACTTCTCTGTAACCTCATCAAAGAGCTTGCCTGGCATGGCCTGACGCGCATCTTCCAGTCGGCTTTTACATGGATCTATGGGAGTTCTTCTGAATCTGGCACATGTTCCGCATCGCGTCATTGTCTGCCACGTACTTGGACCACAAGCTCTCGTGCTTGCGCCAAGCGCAATGAGCTACGAGGGTTGGGATATGCGTCCCTTCTTTTTTTCAGTTCCGGCTGCTGTACAAAGAGCCTTCTGATAGGTGACATAGGTCATCCCGAGCCACCGGATGCAGCGCCCCTTGCTCAGGCACTGGCAAATCGTCCCAATACCCAATACCCTGGCACGAGCTTGTTGGGACGCACCTGAACCACACGAGCTGTCGATGCTCGGCACATTGCCGTTGAAGTGCCTATGCTTGACTCTGGGGAGTTGGGGCTAGAGCTGTCTTCAGGTGCCACGTGGCCTCGACGGCGCCATTTTTGGACAAGAGTCAGGCACAACATACATAAAGCGACCCAGCAGCACACACAACCAGCCAGGACGGCGTAGAATCGGCGTAGAAGATGGCCCACTCACCTTCGGTTGAACTTGCGGGCGTAGTCGTCGCCACAATGCAAGCATGCGCAAAGGTCACTTCCAGGTAACCTGGATATATCCATCCGTCGGCCACCCATCGTTCTTGGCATGACCAAAAATTAGGATCCTGCTATCCACCTGCACCGGCGCAAGTTCGTCGCGAGCAGACCTGAAGATGCCGACAGCTCCAGCAGCAATCAGGATTCGGCTCGACGAGGTCGCACCGAAGAAAGGTAGAAATGGCTCGGTTACTTTCAGCTCGGTCCTCAAGTGGAGGTGTCTTGGGTCTCGGCGTAAAATTGCTTCGCGCTTGGGCCAGAGACATACTACTCATACTACTACTTGGAGGCATACTACCGTGGCTGTGTGTCGAAACGGGACCGCTACAGTTGGCTTGCTTCCTGGTACCCCTTTTTTTCAACCCGTACAAAGCGTGCCACAAATTCCATTGCCGTGAAAGCTGTCCAAACGTGCGCTTTGCAGCCAGGCGGCGGCTCTGAAAATAGGCTGCGGCCGTGTCGGGGTCGTACTTCCCATCTCGGAACGGAGACACAGAGCGAGTCACAGAAGGCGCACACGAGGGCATGCTACGTCTTCAACATATCCCACCAATGGAAACACACTCCAAAATAACGCATAAGATATGCAACATGTGTACCGGGCATTAACGGAGCTCGTGGCCAACGCGTCAGGATCGAGGTTGGGCCAACAGAAACATGTTTCAGCACCGGCTGAAAAGTAGGAAGCCCTTCTGGGCCTTTGCCGCTTTTCCACTTTTCCGTCCCTTTTGGCTCCAGGAGCTCCAAGAAAGCCACCCGCTAGGCCAAAGGGTTGAAACCAATTTTGCCGCCCGCTGGGCCAAAGGCCAGGGAAAGGAGTTGCCCGAAGCAGCAACCGTGGCCGCGCAGACCGCGCGCGCTGGGAAAATCGGCCTCGGAAAAGAGGCCAATCTGGGTTTGTCGAGTGTGAGTTGGTGCCGCTTGGCGACGTCAGAAGGCACATGGCAAAGTGACCCCGAATGCCTTCACAAACATACGCACACCCCTGGCAGGAATCCTTACGGATCACAAGTGGCAGACTTGAGATCAGGAAAGATTTGAGGATTCTGTCTGCGTGAAGTGCTTTTGAGGGGAAGGATAACACGCGCTCATCATTCTGGCAAAACTGAGAGCATGACACTGCTGCAGTCTGTACTACAGCAAATAGCATGTCATGGCAAGAGTTAGCCATTTACTCATGTTTGAAACAGGCTCAATTGATTGGCATTCCAGAATTACCATTGAGAATGTGTCAACACTAGGGACCTGATTTATGTTTGCTTTCCTGAAACACCAAATCCAACACAACAAATATAAACCGAACTCGCCATGAAGGGTCTATCAATCTGAGTGCAGCGCAAGCAGCCACCGTGACACCGATAGGCAGAACGCACCAAAGGTGCCTACGAGAGTGCCACTTCAAGACTTCTGAACAGATCGAATCGCAATTCACGACTACAACACAATATGGGATAGAAGCAACTCAGAAATTCGACAAGCCCAAAGTGGAACCTCTAAATAAACCTCTAAATGAAGCTTCACGGAAGTCGCAACATGTGAATTCATTTCTCCAGGACGTCACAAGGTCACAACCTCGCCTATTGGAGCCCGAGAAGTCGGAGAAGGAGCCAAAGTCCCTAGCAACCTGCGGACATGTGTGACACGAAGCAAGCCGGCAACAGGCAAAATGTGGTGTCTTGTTTCGAGGAGGGCCCTTTTCTTGTGGTCTGAAAGGAAAACAAACGGAGAAGCCCCACATGTTGTTTGTGGGTCCCCTAAAACAAGACGGGATCGAGCAAACCGATTCTTTTGATCGCTTGATCTTTGTCTCCTTGCGTCGCTTTCCAGAGGGCGCGCTTGCGACGCAAGGAATCCGATGGCATCCCCGGTTGCAACGTGCCAACGGGAGAACGAAGCATGTGCTTCCGGTTCAACATATGGAAAGCACAAAACTCAGAGCTGGCATCTGAGAGAAGGCCTGCATATTTGCATACCAACCTTCATGGATGCCACGTGAGCTGCTTTTGGGACTCTAGCGGCGTGCTGGCCTTTGAAGGGGGGCGGGATGCAGAAAGAGTCAAGAGTTTCTCAATCAACCCCATTCCACCCGGACTCTATCTCTCTCTCTCCTTCTCTCTCCCTCTCTCTCTCTCTCTCCCTATCTCTCACTTTCTCTCTTTCTTTTCTGAAGCTTCGGCGCGATGGGCTTCTCTCACGGGAATCCCCGAAATTGATGCCTGTTTCGTGAGTCGCTCAACAATCCTGAGGGAACCTACCGAAACTCACGGGATCCAGTGACTCCATCCGGGGCAGCGGCCGACGGAGCGCCCTTCGCGGCATTGCCGCGAAAGGACCTGCGCGAAACGACCCGCGCATCTTACCTCAGGCCTCAAGCTGGGCTTGGCTTCTGTCAAGATCTACCTTCCTGACTAAACTGGCCAAAAACGAAAGTCCCAGCTGTTTGTTTGCCGCCAAAGTGGTCTTCCCAAGTATAAAGTTTATGAACTCAGGAAGTGAGAAGTTTGGGGCATCCCTAAAGTGGAGGTATTCCTCCTAGTTTTCCTTTAAACCAAGATGAAAGCGGGTGACCATCATATCAAAGTCTCCTCAGTGGGAAGGGGAACAACCCCACTTTCGGACTTAAGTTGACGCAGGACGAATCAATCAATATCCAAACGACTGCCCTTTCAAACGCGGGCAGTCCCTTGTTGATCAAGCTGCGGTTTTCGCTAACGGGTAGCCTCCCTTGACTTCCCGCACCCATGGCCTTGGCACGGCAAAGCCGATGCTGGCCGTGAAGAGCGCGACCACTAGGACACCTGTGCAACCAGTCCGGTTTTCGGCAGTCCGAAACCACGAAGGTCCTGAACCTCTGAGTGTCAGAGGATACTTAAGCCTTAAGCAGTCGTTTTCTTCCGCAGGAAGGGAGCCACCTGGAAGTTTAAACTTAAAGCTCAACCACACGTTCAACTGGTGGCAGAAATATCTGAGCCTGCCAGTGGCTGCCTTCACCAGATTCTCTTTGGTGTTCCATGAAGAGGATCGTTCATTGGGCAAGCTTGATGAATGGTTCTCATGAATGGCAACATGCTTGACTCACAAGTCGAAAACAAAAAACAATCTAGGCAAGCCTCCCGATCATGATACTGAACCTCCATTGGTGTCCATCGATCCAAGCAGAGTTCGGCCGCACCTCTTCGGGGTCCTTTGGGTTCCTCAGCGATCCTCGTGTTTTGGAAACATGTCCATCCGGAAGCCTTACGTCGGCAAAGATCCGTAGCACGTTCCGACTCAGAATTTCAGAAGGTTACCCACTGACTTTGCTATCCGGTTGGGCACGGGATCCAATGACACCCAGCTCAGTCAAGAGCGCCTCGGCCATGTCGTAGCGCGGCCATTGGCCATGCAGCGAATACAGGCACGTGCTCGGACACACAAAGACTTAGAGGAAACTTAAATAATTAGGTGGACCGTAAACATGAGATCGCATTGGTAACATCTAGAGCTATTGGGCGACATCTTTGGACATCTCATGTCTAGCTGAGTCTTGAGAAGTCTAATCAGGACATGCCGCGTAGAGGGACTTTTGAGAGCATTGCGATCGATGTCGCTTCGACGAAGCGGGACTCCAATCACCGAGCTACAACTCATTGGATGCCTGAAAGGATCCTCTGTACTCTATAAAAAATGGTTTGTTTCCTTGTGCCTGCCTTTCAAAACACGTCTCCAAAACGGTACCCTCAAGAAACACAGAGACACCACCCATATTTTACGACAAAGGGAAGTTGTCACTCACCGATTCCCAAGTTCATGCGGGGCACCCGGACCCCTGCCGTGAGTGTACCCGGTTTTCGGGTAGACTACCCACAAGGATCTACCTGAGATTGAGTTTTGGTCGGTAAAAGGAAACCAAAAGGAAATCAAAGAGCAAGATTTGGGGGCCCCTCATTTTCAGACACCAAGGGCGCTTCTGTTGCTGCCAATGTGCTTCCCAACTGCTGAGGCTTTGGGTGTGGCTCAGCTAACTTGCCCCATGGGCAAGCGGCTCAAGTTGGCTGCCTGTTCGAACAGGGCACAAAACCAGTTGGACACATCCGCTGATTGATGTTTCTGTTGTTTGTTTTTGCGGGGAAGAAAATGCCCCACGAAGAAAGGATCTTGAAGTTTGTTGGAAGGCGCTCCAATGGGCTCTGAGAAGCCATAAAGATGCGCGGGTAACAAAGCAACGAATGTCTCTTCTGAGTTGGTACCTCTTGTTTTGTGTTTTGTATTTGGAAACCAAAAGGAACACACCTTTAGTACCCTAAAATAGACGAGCCACCCACTTGGTGCATTTTCCAGCTTGCAACTTGGAGCCTCCTCGGCCGGCCAAGGCTTGCAGTCGCATGGCGCAAACCTTTTCAACCGCCACTCGTTAAGAGTCTGATTCGCTCTCAGACTCGCCTCGGATCGTTCGAATCGGCTCGGCCTGGAAATGGGAGATGGGCTCTTTGACAACCCAAAAGAAGGCCGCCTGCTGCCAGTATTCCTGGCAGCCATGTGGCCGACATGTACCGAGGGTTCACTATTCGTCTGATGTTCCCTTTTGAGGGCTCTCTTTGTGTGCTTGAGGTACTTGAGGTTGCTTAGAAGGAAGCCAAATGGGGGTCTCCAAATTACTGAACTCAAAAAGGGATCCAAAAAAGACGCAGGCATAAATGGACACCAGTGGAGACATCTACTGCTGAATGCGGCCGACTCGCCATCATCCTCGCTCTGCTCTTCTGAGCTTCCTGCAGAAAGCAAGTGGTGTCTTTTGAGGGTTCCCGCTTGACTTCAAAGGGAAACCACAAGCACATCGCCCATTGATTTGGTTCAGGCTCGCTCCCTGTGGGGGAGGCCTTTGAGAAGTTCCCCCGATTTTGAGACCGCAAACCGCCTTAGGTTCGTGCTAATCGCACTAAACTTTCCAGTTCATACCGGATGGCCTGCCAGAAACTTGGGTTGTCCAACTGGTGGTTTTTGTGAACTCGTGATGCCACTTTTTCCGGCTTTTGAACGGGATACCGAAAGGGCCCTCTAATATTGACCACTCCCCACTTGAGCAACAACCAGGCTAGCACATTGTCTTATCAACTGTTACACATGTTCTGAGACCGTGCCATTTCGAGGTGCCTTGGGGCAACAACTCAAGGAGGGCGGCGCCCAAACGAGCCAATTTGCAAAAACCATTTTTGCAGCCATGGACTTCAAATGACCAGAAGGACTTTGTTCAAGATACTTCCCCAACAGCGACAGCTTCGCAACCAATCTGCCAGTCTTGGCTTGGGATATTCAGCTTCGGCAGGTTTCGGGAGGGGGGCCTGTCCTTGCCGGCGAATGGATATCTTCGCCAATGCACGGGGTAATCGGATTTCGTGGGTGTCTGCCAACGCTTGGGACCCGTGACCACTCATAGGCGCAATTTGGTGCTGGCCAAACTGGAACTCACGCAGAAGGCCGAGGACGTTGAGCTATAGGGAAGCAATCAATGCAACAAAATGGCGGCCTTCTTTCAAGGCGCATGTCACCAGGGTCCCACGGGCCGCTTAGTTCGACGCGCCTTTCTCCGGCTTTCCCTTGAGGCTGGCGAGCCGATCCTGTCAGACGAAAAGCGACCCATGCTCGAAACCGCAAGTTTCTCGCTGGAGGCCTTTTAGGATGACCCTTCAGGGAGGCTCAAAGAACCCCCTCAGCTGGACAATGCTGGGTTTCCGTTTGCTTCCCGCCAATCCAATTTGGATTCCCTGTCTTGATCGCGTATCAGGGAACCCGGGAAACGCCGGACACGGCTCCACATGCTTACAGCCCCTTCAGGCTCATCCCGTGGGTTCAATCACGAATCAAGCAGCTTCCTCTGAAAAGGGTTGTACTTCCAAGGGATCCGACAAGCCTCACCGTCCATAGCTGTGGGAAGAATCATATCGGCTTGAGCCCCCCAAGCAACCTACACTCTCAACGGTTCAAGGAATAATGCTTGAGAATAGGTCAAAAGTATATTCAACACGCAACTCTTTTCCATTCTTGGCATTTTGGAAAAGAACATTGTGCTTTGCAGGCCCACACTGAACATGCACAACACCATATAGCCAACAACACTGAGCATCTTGCCGAGAGCTGTGAGGCAATTGTGGTATGGGTGTGCTAGGCCAGGAAGGCGAACCCCACCAGTTCGACATGGAGTCTGGAGTAGATAGGGTCGGTACAGTATTTTTGAGCAAAGCTACGTTTTGGAAGATCGGCCTCTATGAAGCAACCAGGCCGCCCCAGGTGTAGCTGTCATGATGTGTCGAATCTGCTGAATTCCAAGATAAAAAGGGTTCAAGGCGCCGGGCAGGCAAACTTGCCGAATGTGTGCGCGATGAGACATCAACTTCAATCAATCTGGATGTGTGTCCTCTATTCTCCCCCGGTGGCATGGACTGAAACCTCAATCAAGTGAAACAGGCCGGGTGTGATTTTTCATTTGGGGGCCTTTGGACATCATTTACATGGCAATTTGTGTCTGCCAATCATTTTCGAGGGTCCCAAATCACGGCCGTGGATTTGAGCCATAGTCAGACTCCTTCGGGTCATGGTCATGGTTTCTCGCCATGGACCCCTATGACTGACAAAACCCATGGGGTAAGCGCAGCATCGCTGTTTGCTCCGAATGAAGCGTTGACCATTTGCGCGAAACGTATAATCACCGAGTCCACCCTGTTGATGTCGGCATATCACCGGAATTCGAACCACGCTGCCCAACCTTCTGACCCCTCAAAAATTGCAAGACTGCAACACTGGCCTTTTCTGAGAAGGTCTGACCCGTTTTGTCTGAAAGCTCAACATAGGGGCCAACCCATTTCAGGAACCGTCGGACCGGTATTGAAGCAGCCAGCTGCCGCCTTTTCAAATTTAGGTCCGAAGCGACTGCGCAATGAATTACTTTGCGGAGAGTCGGACTTCCTTTCACCATTTCTCTTTTGAACCGTGTCCCTCTTCAACAGAGGTAAAAAGGACATCTCCCCAAAATATCTGAGAGTCCCCATCAAACCAGCCCAGTGCCACCTGAATCCTTCCCAAACGAATTCGCTTCGAACCCCAAAAAGGATCGACCGAACCCGCTGTGGCTCGTTCGAAGCGCCTTGGCGCTTCGGAGCCGCTTCTCAGCGGCCTCGACCTTCTCCGCCTGGGCGCGGATGTCGACACCGCGTCCGAAACCACGCCCAGAGGAAGCCGAGTTTGGTGCAGCCGGTGGGGGCTGGTGTCCACCGTGCAGTTCTGAAGAGCCCGGTAAGCTCAACGACAATGTGCCTTGGAAGCTTGCCCGGCTCGCCGATGTTTCATTTTAAGTCATAGATGGACAGGACAAGTGCACGCTGTCGTTCTGGCCCTATTCAGGCATGTAGTGAGGAGTTTCTAGACATGGAACACCTACTTAATGACAAGACTGTGAGACCGGTCTAGTGGCACACTCTGGCAAATGCCCAGTTTGCCATTGCCTACCTCCCTGCCCCCTGCTTTTTGTCTTGTTTTGTTCAAACAAACATGTAGGTGTGTCTTTTTGGAGGGTTCCTCCTTTTGATTGGCTTCAAAGAGAATCGGGTCTGTTCGGTTCAGACAACAGGACTCGGGCTGGGGACTGGATTCCGAGGGGCCAGGAGTTATTCCAAACCTGGCCGGGAGATTCTTCTCGGGTCCGGGTTTTCTTTGGGGAGCGTCCAGGCCATGCACCCCGACAACGACTCTCAGTCAACATTGAATTTGGGGGGGGGCGGGACCCGGTCCTGGGTTTCATATCAAGCGAAGGCGATTTCCGAGCTGCTTCTTTGCTGGGCTGTCCTCAGATCCCCTGCAAAAAGTTCAACTTTTAGTGGGTCAAATGGAACCCCCACTAAACCCCAAGAAGCTAAAAAGCCGAAGGGATGGCTGGGAGCCGAGTTGACTGAACCCGATCTGGAGACAAACCGACGCCGCGAATGCTTCAGTGAGCGCAGGGCGTGCTCCGCCACGGCCTTTGCTTTCCCCTCGCTGACGGCCTGAAACGGAAAAGTCGTCCAACAAAAATGCCAGAGCTGCGAAAATCCAGGGGAAGCAACGCCTTTCAGGGAATCCTACATCGGCTCATTCAGGTTGCTTCGGGAGGGAGGGAGCAAACGTCCTAATATCCGATCCGCGGAGGAATAAGAACAGACTTTACCAACCGATGAGGAAGCTTCATCCTTTTGCGAGGTGGCTCCAGTATGCCTGGAATACTGGAAGAATGTGCCAACACGAGAGTCAACCCCAAACCCTAAGTCATCCAAATCACCCATGTCACAGTGATGCCCAGCTCCACTTTCTGGTTGCTCCTCAGATCAAACATGAAATACTTCCAAGGAGCGGCATGTTCCCTGACATGGGCCTTGCCTATAGCGGGAAGCCAACTTTGATTCGGACCTTGAAGGGAAACATCGTCAAACATCGAAACTTGGTATTAAAATGTTGAAGGGTCTACCCAAAAACCAGATGAAAAGCAGCACCTCGTTGTGGTTGGGGCTGTCCCCAATTGGCAAATGTACCCCCGCCCCCCGCACCAGAAAGGGTTCAAAACTCGAAGCTGCCACCGCCTTCTTGGCATCAGCCTCCACCTGCTGCCGGCCCTGTGCGTGTGACACGGGGGGGTTGAGAGCAACCGCCACTCAAGGACAGAACCTGAAACCTAGGGACATAAGTTCTTGAGAGTGTGACTTCATGTTCGTCCCCAGACAAGTTGTTGAAGAGGAGACCAAAAAGATCGACTCCTTCTCCAAGAGAACATGAGCAAATTCCCCTCCCAAGATCTGGGGGCGAGTGTGCCATCCACGCTGACAACAATGCAACCATGGAGCTTGACAAAATCCACGCGACGCACTAGTTGGGATTGATGGCACCCTGCGAATACTGGGACCATGCCAGCATTTGTTAGAGGTGTTTCAAACGGAACCCCGGCAAGAAAATCACCACAAGTGGCGCAAGTGGTGGGTCCCCTCGTTTGACGGCCGTGCCCAGCCTCCTTTACCTTGGCCTCGGCCTCCTTCTCCAGCTTTGCCTTGGCCTAGGAAGTATGGGAAACCGTCCAGGTCTGGGCTGCCCGTCCCCTGCTAAAGGTCGACAAAGGTTCGTGGGTTGATTGGGGAAACTACCACTGAACCCAAAAACAAGAAAAGCTAAGGAACCGCAGCCGCCAAGAGTTGGCGAACAGCAGCCGGAAGAAAAACCAACAACTCTGTCCAAGACGAGGGCTGGTTGCAACTTGGGGCCCCAAAGAATCCCCACGACTGATCAACCCTCTAGTGCAAGAAGCTTGGCTTTTTGGGCCAGGACTGAAATCGAGAACATGAAACACTCCCACTAAAAGGGGACACCACTGGAAAAACTGCCTGCGTATTCATCACTTGGCAAACATGGGGGATTCCTGCTGCTTTGCTGGAATATTTGGCGCTATCCCTTTTTCCGGGCCACTTAAATGGAGGCATTCCGATGTCGCCGCGGCTTAGTCCGGGATAAATGTTGAGATCCAAGCAATCAATCTAGGTGGTCGTGCGCCCGCGCTTTGGTTTTGGGGAAGAAACGCCTCATGCAACGAGGGTCAAGCCAACAAGCCAAGGGCAAGGCTAGATCTTGACTGAAAAGTTGATTTCGATCGACCGGCACCCCATAAAAAGAGGCCGCTTTGGGAGGTCGAATCTTGAGCCTTGAGCCTTGAAGTGGCCAGCTTCGGACGCCTTTTGCTTGGCGCCCTGACCAAACCCCCTCGCGTGATCAGCTTAGGGCTCCCGATTTTTATTTTTATTTTTATTATATATTTTTTAACAAAAAACAAAACGTCTCATGGGCGTGCCGAGTCTGGGCCAAGCGCATCCTTCAGCCTGCCGGCGATCACCTCGCGTCGAATGGGGGTCTCAAACCTGCTGGGTCTGCCTGCTTTGCGTCGGTTCCTCTTTTTGTTGGTCTTTGAAGGAAAACCAAAGGAAAGCAACACCGTTTTTGTTTGGGGAGGGTCCCTCAACCACAGATTCCCGTTTTGAACCACACACTATTATACGCAACTAGCCATTCTCCTCCGTGTGTGTGTGTGTGTATGTGTGTGTGTGTGTGTATGTGTGTTTCTTTTTACAAACGGGTGTTTCCCTTGATTCTCTACGAAGAAATGGAATCAGCGGGGATCATTGGAAGCTTCCAACAGGCCGGAGGCCTTTCGGAGCAAAAATGGGCGGTGACTCGCTTGCAGGTTGTTGAGCCCAAACCAAACATAAGCCGCTTTATGTGCTGCGTGAAGAGACCAGCTATTGGGAGCTAGGTCAATTGGCTATGTGTCCGCGTGTGTGCGTGTGTCAGAAGGGACCCTTGGGGGGACACCTTGAAATGAAAGCAAGAAGACTCCAAGCGTTCTATTGTGGTTTTCTTAACAGCTGGAAGCAACCAGGTGGTGCTCCCGGGGCAGCTGTCAGGGAGGTTTGCGGAGGGTTCCGAAGGCTTTTGGGGATACCACCTGGGCTTATTTTTTGCACAGCTCGCTCGGGCCTTGTCCAACCGCTCCTCCGCCTCTTTCATGCGAGAGGCCTTGTCCAGCAAGAGCTTCTCCTGGGATCATTCCGACTTACCCGAGTGCAAAGTCATCCCCAATCCTTGGTTGCGGTAGCGACCCCACTGCAAAAAGGCTGAACACCTTTGGGTCCAATGGACAATTCAAGCTGCTTCAATCAAAACAAATCTAAATCCGCTCTCTGGAGCATCACTACAAGGGAAACTACTTAACATATTGTGGGTCTCTCTATATCAGTTCAACCAAAAGGAAAGCCCACCACTGTGGTGGGTCCCCTAAAACAACACACACGCATCTGGCAAAGGGTTTGAGGATTGCTTTGAATCAGGTCAGTTGGGCCAATGAAAAGCAAGGGACAAGTCCTGGCTGAGTTCACACCTTGGCGTCTCGGCCAAACGTTTCTTGCTTGACAACAAGCACAGGAATGAAGCGTCCAACCAGAAAAAAACAACTTAGTGAAGGATCATTCCAAAAATTATGCTCTAAGAATATTCAAGCGTGGACTGTCCGAGATTCCAAACAGAAACAGGCTGAGCAATTCGTGGCAGACTTGCCATAATTCCCAACGCAAAAAACAACATCAGGGTCCGTGCGCCAATGATCCAAGGGAAGTTCGGCGAGCAAAAATATCTGCGCTTCTTGAACTCTGGTTCCCGTGTTTCCAGTTGCCACTTTTGTAGGTAACCACGGGAAACCATGATGTAAAGCTTAGAGGTAGCCATATTTGGTTCCCGACTGCATTAGTAACTGGAACCACAGGGGGCATGGGTGCCATGGCAAGATTCATCTGGACCGTACTGAACTAGCACCCCCGGATTGATCAACCTGTCAATCTGAGCTTGCTTGTTGCGGAATTGCGCCCAAAAGCGAGAACTCCCATCTTGAAGGGTCTTTCCGTGTGCGTACGCTGGGTGGCCAATCCTACTGACAAGTCAACCGCCGTTCTCAACCCAAAGACATGTGCTTCACCAGGTTGCCTCTCAACAGCCTTTGAATTTCAAACCACACTAGGGCCTGAATCCCCATTCTTTTCAAACATCGATCTTTTTAAAAACCAGCCGTTTTACCTGGGATTCTGGAGGTCTTCTAGAAAGAAGGATCCCTGGAAAGAATGAGGAATGTTCTCCTAGAACCACCTGCTCCCCTTGCAACTCAACGTGGAACCCCCAAAAAGCCGGGGAGGGGGGGGGTTCGTCCAAAAGGAGAGGCCTCCATAGATTGGCTTTGAGGGAGTTCGCACCTCGATGGCCTTCATCTTGACGGAAACCTCCGCATCTACCTCGGGTCCCGGCCAGGTCGTGGGTGGCTGTTCAGTACCAAACGTATTTATCAGCCATGGCTTTTCGGGGACCCCCACAAAATTATTGTTTCCCTTTTGGCTTGCCTTCATTCTAGAATTCTAGAAAAGAAGTATCCCCCGCAAAAAGACACCCAAATGATGGCATGTTCTTTCAGCCACCAGCACAAAGGTAGTTGTTCGCACTGGATTCGCACTTCAAAAGTTGATCAATTTACGGGAGGTGTCCATTGAAACGATCTCCACTTTTGGAGGATCCAGAAAGGGACATGGAGGAAACGGTGCAAGTGGGGTTGATTCACCAGTCGGCATTTTCAGAGGCGGAGCAACCGATCCCAGGCCGTAAGTAAAGCCGTGCCTGTCACCCGGATGCGTCTCATGGGGCATTTCAACATACGGTGCCCAAGCCCCAAACTGGGCGGCGTTGGTGTTCCTTCGACAGAAACGGATACAACATATGGTATTGGTCTTCCTTTTCGAGTAGTTCTCCCTTCTAAGTGGAAACAATGTTTAACCAAAAGATGTTCCAACATATTATAGCAAGTTGGAAACAAGTCGGACATCTCGGAAGTTTACTGCCAGTTGACGGCTCCAGCCGTGAGCTGAGGTCAAGGCTTCGGCTTGCGCGGCATTGACATCCTGCTGCACCTGCCATGGATCCCATCCCGAATCCAGCGTGGGCCATGTGGGTTTGTATGGGTTTGTTTCATGGGCTCACCCCTGAAAACTCAATGCTAAATGGATCTAACTAGGTCGTTTCACCACCTTGCGTTGGCGAAATGGGCACATCCGAAGCTGGCTCTCATGGCCCTTTGTCCGGGGGTCCGGGGCTTGCCGGTGTATCGCTGGCTCAGGCCGCTGGACGTTGACATTTGGGCTGGGTTGGATGGCAGCTTGCAGAGGAAGTGTCTGTTGATCAGCGTCTGTAGAGGGCGGCACACATGTTGTTCAGACAGCCGGTTTTAGCATAGAGCAACGCCTCAGCTGCTTGTCGCTCCTCCTCTTCCTGAATGGCATCCTTCACCGCCTTGGCGCACAGGCGACCTGTCGCAGTTGAGATCTCGCACTGACCAAGCCTAGCATTGGATGAAGGAAATTGGTTTCAGCTCTTCAAACCTGTGCACTTGAAACAACAACCATCTGCATTAAGAAAAAGCCTCATCTTCAAACGCGATCGATGTGGAATTCACCACATCCAACGAGCGGGGCCTTTCACTGTTTCACTCTCCTGAGGCGGGCGCTTTGTGTGCTTGTGCCACTGCTTCCTCCTTGGCGAGGTGCCGCGGTGACACGAGCACTCCGGCAATCTTCAAATTCAAGGCATGAATCTTGGCAATATTTTGCGGAAGTCACATACCTTTCCCGTTTTGCCGAAACTGTCTGCAGTGGCGGCCATAGCGGAGCGCTCCAGTGTCCTGTGACTGGTGGACTGGCCAACGCAGCATGCTTCCACCTCCCATCTGCTCTGCTTCTTCCTTAAGGAATTGTGGCCCACAGCTCCGTGCTGGAAGGCTCGACTCAAACTGGATGCACGTCAACTTGGAGCTCGGCCAAGGTGCAGAGAGGTGCATGATAATTGTACGGCACAGGCATATGACAGGGCCCACCCAGATCCTGCCGGCGTCATGTGCATCACCTGGCAAAATTGGATGCATCATCTGCTGCTGGTGCTTTGCCTATAGTCGTAGTATTCCCTTGAAAGCAGCCCTGAAAAAGGGTAACTCCGGAAAAAACAAAGCAGAAGAAACAACACGACACATATCCACGTATGTGCTTAGTGCCTGGCCTGTGGGTATGTGTTAAAAAGGGAACCCTCGAAATGGTGGCTTTCCTTTTAAGCCCCTGTCAACCAACCAGAGGGTACCCCGATTTTGTGACTCCCATTGATGGGCCTCCCAAAATGGACCATAGCATCCCGGTTCTTTGGACCGAACCTCAAACACATTTGAAAAACCTCCCAAAATGGGACTAGTGGCGTCCTCTTGATTTCCTAGCCTGTTGGTGAAAAGGGCGCGTTTAAATACATATATATATATATAAAGTATATATACATACACATGTGTATATATATATATATATCATGAGTCATGAGGTATACATATATATATATATATATATTATATGGTGCGCCTTTATATCATCTATATGAATGCCCCGTCTATGGTCTCTGGGCCCCCAGGCGGCGGCCTTGGCCTTGGCCTCCGCCTGCTTCAGGGCCTTGGAGCCCTAGCAAATGCGAGCAGCTGTGTAGACAACCAACTACTACCTGAAAGAAAGACTGACTGACTGACTGGCTGGCTGGCTGGCTGACTAGCTAACCAGCTGACTAGGGAACTAGCCAACTAGACAACTAAACAACTACACAACTAAGCAGCTAGCTAACTAGCTGCTCTTTACCCACCATTCGGGCCTTGGACAGTGCAGGCTCCATATTAGTCTTGGTATGCGGCACCCGGGACAGGAGATCAGCTTGTCCTTGTGCCAAGTGGAAAGATTCTGGGGCATATGTTGCGAGCGTCGCATACAAACAACCGAGTTTGAGGGACGTGTTTGGCAAAATACAAGGCGCTCTTTTTCACATCTTGGAATTAGCAGAGTGATGCTGACATGGAGCATATGCTGTGGGCATGCCTTACAATAGAAGCAGGGACTCCTTCTTGGGAAATGACGGGAAACCGACCTTCTGTCTGAGAAAGCCCCATCTATATGGGCCTGCAATTGTGTCAAAGTGTTCTTGTCTGGACATCCCTGCCTGGATGAGAAACATCCTGCGGCCCAAACCACCAGGAAACGGGTTTAGCAAAAAAAAGAAGCTGTGGGTTGGGTTGTCCCAAGCAACACCTCCTGGTCTTAACTAGAGGATCCGAACAAACATAACAATACCCATCTTGTCTTGGTTTCGCCTTTGGGATGATGAAGACATGTGCTATTTGGCACCTCCGGCAACTGAGGCTTGCCAGTCACTCGCTCCATTGGCTCCGGCCGGCCTTGTCCTCCTGGCAAGGGCTCACGGCACTTTTAGGCTACCCGGCGGCTACCCGTTTTAGGGTATTTTCAAGGGAAACCAAAAGGGAAACCACCATTTTGGGGGGTCACTGGGTCACATAGAAAAAAGATACCCATACACTGCCCTTGTACCCTTCCAGGAAACTGCTGAGATCCCCCGCTTGCTGGGGGGTATGCTTCCCCTTCCGTATATTGGGGGCTTGTCTGCAACAAAACTCCATGGAGTGAGAGACTAATCTGGAAACCATTGTGATGTCCGTCGAGTGAACAAGCAAATGCTATCAAACACCTGACTTGCGCTAGAATGTCGGTTCTACCACACTGGTTAAGACGTAGGCCAAACTATCATCCCGATTAAGCCAGCTGGCGGTTCGAACCCACTTTTGCTGCTTGGGCTGCTCACATGAAGAGACCAGCAAGTTGAAGACCTCCGTGGCAAACAGAACTGCATTGCCCCCCCTCCTTCACCCGAGCCATAATTTAATAAGCGGTCTCTCACAAGTGGCAGGCCTCGTCATCCGACTTTTTCCTCTTCTTCTTCTTCTTTTTCTTTGCATCCTTATCCTGGCGTTGGGTACATTCGGAAGCTCTACATTGTGCAAGCAAAGGTTACCTGTTAATCTCTCCGATGTCTTAGCGGTTCGACGACTTCCCCAAAGCTTCCTCGGGAACACCATCCAAAAAGCGTGACGTCAGTTGAGTGGCAACCAAATCTAATATGAAAGGAGTATTCCCAAAGCCACCAGACTGGCCGCCGATCATATTCAGGAAACATTTTCCCAGAGTCACTGTAGGATATCCATCCACAAACCAGCCATGAGTCAACTGGTAACACTGGATTTTGGTGAGCAACCCCTACTTTCCAAAGATCATTCGGTAACTGTGCTCCGTGGCATCCCCTTTGCCACGTTGTGACCACTAATCACATCCATTCACTCCCATTGGACAAACCCAGAATACGAACCTCGGTTTTGGCTGTTTTAGGCAACAAAGACAGCCGCCAAATCAACTAATTACTTCGGTTTCTCCTGTGTTGAAAACAACCTCCTGTGGATTACGTGTCTGCGATGGAAAACCTCAGAAACACCAACCATTTTGGTCTCCTAACCCAATCCTTGGAGCTGCTCGAGTAGCTGCTCTTGCTCTTCGAGCCTCACAAGCGCGTGCGAACGAAAGACGCGGACGCTGTGTTGGAGACTGGGAACTCAAGGAGGAGCAACATACTCTCCCAAGCAGTGAGGAGCATTCTATTGCCAGCAAATTTGAAATCAGATCTAAGATTGTAATCAGTCGACCAAGTAGTCAGATTGCACCTGACATCTGCTGCAATGCAACATCCACCCGCCCATGAAAGCTGGAAACTTCTCTTTGTGACTTCTTTTGCCATCGCATCGAAACAAGCACTCGGCTGGAGGAGGAACGGCGCTTTGAGCGAGACTTCCTCTTTCTTCTCCTCCTCCTTCTGCGATGGTGTCTCCTGCACCGGAACTCCCTCCAACAAGTTGGGTACTCAACCCCGCACGCTGCCCTCGCTGCAACTAGGATGGAGATACTTTCGTTGTGTGACGGAGAAGAGAACAGCTTAAACTATACATGGCATAGCATCGGTCCAAGAGATAGGAAGGTTTCTGATAGAAAAAGATGCAAATCAGTTTGAGACATCCCCAAAGCATTTTCCGACACAGAACCGCATTCAAAGACTCCCAAAGAGGAAGACACCCAGGGCAAATCTGGGGCGCAGAATGTATGGCCTTGGACGTGCATGGCGTCACCCGTTTACGGGGTCCGCATGCCTTTCAGGCCGCGAGAGTCGTGGCAGCCCTTGGCCACTTTCCTTTTGGGAAATCCCAAAACGTCCACTTCCATGATTGTTGGAAAGAGGGCAAAACTGATGAAACTTTTAGAACACCTCTTCCTAGCGAAACTGATAAGGCATCCGAAGATGTGCTTCGCAAATTCGACCGGAAGCTGAAAGCTCCTGCGGCCTCGCCTCCGGTGCCGCCGCCGGCTCTTGCTGCCTGCAAGGCGGGCGCCTTAAAGTCAATGGAAATAACGTACTTGGCGCCCAAGCCACTTAGGTACACTCGAACTCACAGACTCCCTGAGTCTTCCAAAATAGGGGATGTCCAAAACTGGCTACCATCCAAAAGGGGAAAAGGAGTCGGGACCCCAACTTGAGCCCTCTTGCTCGCAGCACCCAGCAGGCTTTGCCCAACTTCCCTTGTCGTATTTGTCTTCCTTACGGGCAATCCAGAAAACCATTTCATGTTGCTTGTGTTTCTCCTGAAGGGGAACCCTTTTCAGGTTGCTTGAAAGGCAAATCAAAGGGAAAACCTTCAATGTGAGCCCCCTACCATCCCCCGCCCTGTTTGGACACACACACACACACGCACCCACGCATCCGAATGCTTCTCCAGCAAGAGAGTGGCCGGCAAATAAGCAATGGACCCTACTGGGCCCTGCTCCCAGCAGATGATCGTGCAAAGAAACCACCACTGATGTTGCTTGAGGGGTGACTTTTGATTAGAGTCCAACCTCCGTCGTCCACTGAAATCCCTGAAAAATCAACATGGAACCCAAAAACCTCCACTTGAAAAGGAAATTCCTTTCGGGAGAATCTAATTTTGGGATGCCAGGGTGTCATCTGGCATGACCCCAGCAACACAAGCTGGCAGCACGGCTTCGACTGCTGCTTCTACTTCTGCTTTTGCTGGCACCTGCGATCAAGGCACCCAATCCCTCGAGCGGATCCGTCAGTGCGTCAAAACTGGAAGGTTCCCCTAACCATCCTTTGCAGAAGCCCTTTGATTGGCAAGCCTCGCACGCCTTCCTGTCATCCCTGCAGAGACTGTTGGGAGTAGTCAGTCCCATCAACCCCCGACCAGCGATTTGCTCGGCACCGAGGCACCGACTTTGGCTGCCTCGAACACTGACGGCTTGAGACTCTGCCACATTAGAAGCTCCGTTCCCACAACTCAGCTGTATCTCTGCAGAAAAGAACTCTTTTACACCTAAGATGGGAATCCCCTTCATGGCTATATCTTCCAAAGCATGACCGAAGCATCCAATCCCTAGAG